AAAGCTATTTGGTTGTAGCTGGGACTCTATTCTAACTCTTACTGCTGCAGTCAATGTTGTGTGCATGGGGAAAGAGAGAGAGAACTACAAAAGCTTCCTGCCTAATGTAACCAGAATGCTATAAATACCTGGGATACCCCATTGAAATGTGCATCAGTCGTTGCCCCCCTATGCACACCTCAGCACTCATTTATGCTGATGCTCATTCTCTGATTGGATGCTTTTCTAAAAGATACGCTCTAGGAATTATTTTGTGGACGTTCTATGGCCTCTGTTATACAAGCGAGACTAGATGATCACCATAGTCTGTTCGGGCTGGGATCCATGAATCTGGTTGGTGTGGAAAGGAGCAAGGCTATTGTCCTATCTCAGCCTTGTGAGATCTCTTCTTTTCTGGTCCTTGTGTGGATATGCTGTCCACTGTGCAGGTGTATAAAGGAAGACTACTTGTACCTTTGCCCCTTTTCTGCTCCGTGTCGCTGTTGAACTTCCATAATCATAACACTGAAAAAAATGGGCTACTACCACACTTGTCCAATACCCAAATCATGAAGAATTGATGGTGTTAGTGACAGAACTTGGAAAAGGACTGGCTTAATCGTCCTTTTCACACACAATTACAGTGCAGGATGTGTAGGTTACATTTTGTATGGGTATTAATCCCAAACCTCCTGCATGTAAGGAAAAGGGCTGCCTTGAAAAAAAAACACACATTTTTAAAATCAGTATTCCTATTTTAAGATTTGGCACACTCCTCAACTAGTGTGGTGGTGTAGCCTTTAGAAATTAGAAAACTTAAATGAGCATCTGTGCCCCATACCACTTAAGAATTAAGCTAAATCAGTATTAGCCATTCTGGTACTGATTTTTAAGAGTGCTCACACAAGAGGATTGCACTGATTTAATTAAATCTCTTTCTAAATCAATAGTGTTTAGATGGTGCTCTATCAAGGCTTAAAACTGCTTCTGTATTGCCATGGTACAGGGCCCTGAAATCTTGATTATAATGGCTTTAGAGTCTAGTTGAGAGATGGTATAAGGGGAATATGGAAAAAATACAAGTGGAGGTTGTGGGAGAAGTGGACAAACAGGTCCTGGAGACTGCCTTTGTGTGCAAAGTGGAGGAAGTTAGAGGATGATGTTATAAATCGGAAAAATGGATAAAAGGAGGGAGGCACTAAATGGTTAAGATCCTTTAAAAATAAACCTGTGGTGGTTACAATAGAGAAGATGAAGCAGTGGAGGAACTTAGAAGGATGACATGGTCAGAATTATGGGGGAGGAAGAGACTCATTGCAGCCACAGAAGGCCAGGGAGGAAGAGGCTTGTACTAGTACTAGTCAAGGGGAATTGAAGATTTGTATGGAAGTTTTAACTAGACATGGAAAAGTCTAGGTTTTGAAGGCATAGGCGCCGACTTCTGCTGGCACAAGTGGGTGCTCGACCTCCCTCTGCCCCCGGCCCTGTCCTGACTCCATCCCTGCTCCTTCCCTTCCCTATTCCAACCCCTTCCCCAAAGTCCCCACCCCAACTCCGCTCTCTCCCTGCCCCTATTCCAACCCCTTCCCCAAATCCCTGCCTCAGCCCCACCTCTTCCCTACCTCCTCACCTGAGCATGCTCCATTCCCGCTCCTCCTCCCCCCTCCCTCCTGGAGCTTGTTACGCCATGAAACAGCTGTTTTGCGGTGACAAGCACTGGAAGGTAGGCAGAGAAGCAGGGACAAGGCATGCTCAGGAGAGGAGGTGGAGGGGAGCTGGGGAGGGGAGCACCCACCAATTTTTCTCTGTGGGTGCTCCAGACCCAGAGTACCTACAGAGTTGGCGCCTATGTTTGAAGATATTGCGCCGGGAGAAATTTTGAACTTGACCTGGATGTGTAGGTCTAGAGAGGATGGTGTTGATACCAAGGTTATGGGGCTGAGTGACAAGGAAGAGGGTGGTGGTGTCAACAGTAACCAATAGGTTGCCAGGGGAGCATGTGGGAGAGAATACAAGGAATTCAGTGTGGGTACATTAATTTTAAGTTGACGTGTCAAGGAGATGTTAGAGAGGCCAAGCAAAGTTGGGTTGACTGGAGAGAGAGAGGCATAGAAATAGCACTGGAAGCTGTGAGAGCAGATCATGTCACCTGGAGCTGTAGAGGGAGGAGAGGAGTGACCCCACCATGGAGTTCTATAAGAGATCTGCAGGCTGGTGGAGGTGGAGAGAAGAGATCCTACTGAAAGAAAAGTTCAAGAGAAGATCAAAGAAGTAAGAGAAACAGGAGAGGATGGAATTGTGAAAGCCCCAGGCTGACATCTTTTAAGGTAATATTTCCCCCTAGCTTTTCAATCTGGAAACCTGGTGAGAAAGCAGTGGTGCTAATGTGGGGGGGGGGAGGTTTGATGGCAGCAGCAACCCCCCTCCAAAGTTTTTGCACTTGCTCAAAGTTCCATGGGCTGCAGAGCCGAGGCACCTGTGGCCTGATCGCTTACAAGCAGTGGTCCCATATTGAATCAGTACGGTTGCTGCCAGAGCTGTCTGGTTTGGTCACAGTGCTACTGAAATTTGACCCGGCTGCCCCTCCATACAAATGGAAGAGTGGCCAGAGCATCAGTGAGTGTGACCCTGTGCACCAGGTTCCAACACCAATGCCACTCAAATTTGGCCTGGCTGCACCTCTCTGACACAGGGGGAGGCTGTTCGTGGATGGTGGTGAGCAGGGTAGTCTGCCTAGAATTTGACTCCTGATGGCACTGGCTTATTTGCTGGGTAGGGAGTAAGAGGAGATTCCAGCTGGGTGGAGGAGACCTGGAATCCCTGTAGGAGGAAGGGAGGGGATATGGGGGGAGGAGGGGGAGGACTGGAATTTGCCCCCTCATAAGAAATACCTGATTAGTGTTGCTGGCACAAAGTGGACACAGGTCCCAAATGTACAAGAATGGTGATCTCCCCCCATGCACAGGGGAGGGTTGTGTGCATATTACAAAGCTGCCATGCCTAGAACTGTGTGTTCTGCAGGGTGGAGAGAACAGCAGTTGGCCATGGTTCCTGCCCCACCGGGTCCTGGGGCTGCATGGACAGCACTGCAGTGCAGAGCAAGGCTCTAACCTTCCCACCTAGCTCTTGTGAAAGCTCTTGGCCACATGCTTCTCCAGGCAGGGCAGAGCTTTTCTTGCACAATAACCAGACTTGGCACCACTAAACAGTCTGAATATATTTGCTGTTTGCCAGCTGTGCGCCCAGTGCTGGAGCAAAGAGATGAAGCAGTCTGCCAGGGGTCGGGCCTGGTCGCCTTTTAGCTTCTGCCCCAGGAGTTTCTATAAGGCTGCCCGAGAAGCGGGGACCACCCTTTACTCACCCTGCCTGTCTCCAAGAGTGGCTTCTCCAGGCTTCCCTTACTAGTCTGGGGCTCTCTTGGCTCAGCTGAGAGGTGTGAGGGGTGTGTAACAAGCTGTCAAAAGCAAATCTACATGAACACTCCACATGCACAGCCTGGAGCAATTCACCAGCCCAGCACATGCCATAATCTCCCTAGTTTGCTTGTGAGGAGCCCATTGCAGTGGCATTAGAATGTCATAAAAATGGTCATAGTAAATCAGACCAATGGTCCTTCTCACCCAATATCCTGTCTTCCAACAGTGGCCAATACCAGATGCTTCAGAGCAAATGTACAGAACAGGCAATCATGGAGTGATCCATCCAGCCCCTGTGGTCCGCTTCTGGCAGTCAGAGGCTAGGGACACTGAACATGGGGTTGCAGCCCTGACCATCTTGGCTAATAGCTGTTGATGGACCTATCCTCCAGGAACTTATCTAGTTCTTTTTGAACCCTGTTATAGTTTTGGTCTTTACAACATTCACAGTTTGACCATGCATTGTGTGAAGTACTTCCTTTTGTTTGTTTTAAGTCTGCTGCCTATTCATTTCATTGGGTGACCCCTCGTTCTTGTGTTAGCTGAACCTGTAAATAACACTTCCTTATTTACTTTCTCCACATCATGCATGAGTTTATTGACCTCTTATAATTTGACCGCAGTTGTCTCTTTTCCAAGCTGGAAAGTTCCAGTGTTTTAACCTCTCCTCATACAGAAGCTGTTTCACATCCCTCATCATTTTTGTTGCCCTTCTCTGTACCTTTTCCAATTCCAATCTGTTTCTTTTCAGATGGGGAGACCAGAACTGCACCCAGTATTCAAGGTGTCAGCCTTGAGGCTAGGCTGCTCACCTCCAACAGCCATGATGGTGCTGGAACGGCAGCCTGGCCTGTTGAAGCTGGTTACATGAACAGCGCTGCTCTCCATAGTGCTTGGCCAACAGTCTTTGCAGCTCCGCACTAGTCAGATCGCAGTTATCAATCCATTGCCTGGTGAGCACCGCCCAGGGCAGGGCTCTGGGGGGTTGTTGGCATGGCTGACTCCCGGGTCCGACTCTGCGCCGCCGAGCGGCGCTGGCAGGGGCAGGAGCGGGCGCCTTTGCAAACCGGCCCGTGGCTGCTGGCGGCGGCACTGCAGGGGTTAAAGCCAGAGGCGAGGGCGGCCCCCCCGGCAGGAGCAGGCGCTGAATGGGAGTCACTGAGCAGCCGCGGTGACTCACCTGCCCAGGTGCGCCCGCCCGGGGCTTCCCGCTGTGTGGAGGAAGCGGCTGGGGCGCTGCTGCCTGCGCAGGTGAGTTCGTTCCCCCGGCCGGCGGTGCCCTTCGCTTCGGCTGCCCGCGGGCTGGGCTCGCTGGCCGGGCTGCCCGCTCTGCTGGGGCTCGGGCTAGCAGGGGGCCCACGAGCCTGCCGGGCTGGGGCTCGCTCCCACCTGCCTTTCCGGGCGCGCACCGGGCCAGCTGCAAGGCCGGCTTGGGGCCGCGCTCCGTAGGGCTCGGGTGGCTCCACGCGCGCTTCTCTCCCCTCCCCCAGCTTACTTGGGCCCCGACGGGCTTTTGCTGTCTGGGGCTGTCCGTCCAACGCTCCGCTTCGGCCCCTTCGCTTCCCCGGGGCAGGTGAACGGGGTGTGGGTGAGTGATCCTGATGCAAAGTCCATTGTTTGAGCTAAGACTAACCTGCACAGACTCGGGCAGGGGTCGGGGCGGGCAGCCACGCGGAGGGCTTGCTTACAGAAAAGGGCAAAATAATTCATTACCGTTCCGAGGGTGCGGGGCACCATTCTCCAGCCCATTGTTAGGTCCTTTGATGATCAACAGTGCCATTTTTTCTTTCTTTCCTGGCACAGTGCTAGTCCAGAAAGTACCCAAATCCAGCATGGTTTTAACGCTATTGCATCTCTGTATGCTCACCCGGCGGCTCTTCTCCTTAACGTTGAAGTTAAGACGAGAGTGTCTTTAAAAGAGAAAACTCTGCTACAATAGGAAGAACTTGAGTCACCTTTCCAGCCCTTCTTTTTCCTTGAAGCCTTTCCTTAGGACGAGGCTTTAAGACTTCTGTGAGAGTAACAGACTTTCAGTATAATAAGGTATAGCATATGTTGGCTAGGCTGCCTTAGTCTGAGTTAAGTAAACTCCAGACAAACATTTTTGTTTGTGTGGGTGTGACCCTTCCATACTTGGTCTTTTTGCTGATACAGACTAACATGGCTACCACTCTGAAACCTGTCATCTCTTCTGGAAGTAAAGAGCCAGAAAACATAGTGGACAGCTGATTTAATTCGTTGTCTAGGCATACCCCGGCCTTAAAAATCACACTTATTAGAGTAAAACAACAAGGAGTCCAGTGGCACCTTAAAGACTAACAGATTTATTTGGGCATAAGCTTTTGTGGGTAAAAAAACCTCACTTCTGTTGCATCTGTTAGCCTTTAAGGTGCCACCAGACACAACAAGGTATGTTAAAAAGATTGTGAGCCTTTGAATTTCTTTTTTGTTGTTGACTTTAATATATATATAACTATGGGGGGAATCAAACCTGTAAGGTGAAGCAATTCAGCATCACTACTGATTGGCTAAAAAGTTTTGTTTAAAGATGTATGTTAAAAAAAACAAAAAACTTTTTTCCCAAGTTAAATTTTGACTGTTCTTTTAACATGACATTAAATGCCCCAAATACTAGCACTATATTCTTGATAACAGTTTGGTATGAGTACCACCATTTTAAGATCCTCTTCAAAATTAAATCATCACATGCCTTACCACACACAACTGGTGCTGAAGGGAGAATAAGTCCGGCCCAATAATATTTTGTACTGTGGGAGAATCCACTGTCTCTCACCAGTTCCATTCCTAGGTTAGTGTGGACTGGAAATGTTGAGCCATGTGCCTGACTCTTTGTGTTGGGGACAAGGATAGTTTGTATCATTCAACAGTGACTTTCCCTTAAAGGAATGTCCTTAGGTTTAAAAAAGTCCTTATTTATGTTACTAACACCTTTTAGATTTAAAAATGGTAACTTTGTCATGCTGATTGAACTGAAAATTACAAAGTAAGCAACACACCAGTTTCATTTGCAGCTTCTCTCACAGTAGCACAATAATATTCCTGACGCTCTCAGAATGAGCAAAGTTTAGTTGTCTAGTTGTGGTGGATTCTGAAGGTCAAACTAAAACTGTACTGGAAACCTTGTTTAAAGTAGGCACTGTAGAACTGTTAGGAGGGGATTGCTACTGGAGAGGGTCTTTACTGTAGGTTTCATTATGATAGCTGGTGAACATATATGAATGTGATCAGACAAATATCCCTGTTTATTTCCTGGTTTGGAAGTATTGAGCTAAAACAAAGACTTACAGAAATGAAGTTCCTGAACTGTGGTCTACAGAGTATTTGCCGGTTGTGAGTAGAGCGCAGGCTGATCACGTGAGGCAGCTCTGTGTTTTCAGTTACAGAATTGAGTTAAGATGGCTAAAGCACTTACTTTCTTAATGTTAAATATCCACATAAGTAATTGCTGTAGTTGTCAGAGGAATGGGGTGTAGTCTGCATAATTGTGAACAGGAAGTTCATAAGACCCTCTGTGAAAATGCGGACCATAAAGTTTGAGAACTCCTGTGAAGCTGTTCTTTGTTTGTTTGTTTGGTGTGTATGTGTATTTTGGGGTTGACTAGGAAGGTCAACTAACATTATTGTACAGCAAGCTGGCAGGCTGAAATGTCATTAACATTGTGTGTATTCATACTAGGAATCTAAACTTCTTTAAATGTTTAGCTTCATTAATGTCATTTAATTGTAGTGAGGTCAGGACAGTACAGTAGTAGATTAAACCCTGGACTTGTGGAGGTGATGAACTAGCTGGAATCCTGTCATTTTAAATGTATTAAGTATTGCTTAATGATATAGTAGGATAGTATTGTAACATCAGTGGCAACAGTTTTTTAACATGGAGACAATACATTTAGAATATGTTGAAAACATGCTACAATCTGCATCTTGTTATAGCAAAGTTATTAGCAGTTTTCTTTTCTTTTATACACTAGAGCAGTATAATCCCTGATTCTTGGTCCAAGGAATGAACACTCAAGTCATTGCTGAAAGGGAACCAAAACCTGGCTTCTAAACAAAGCTTAAGAATAAACTGGATCTTACATGTACTACTGGTTGTCTATGATAATTTTAAAGGGGAAAAAATGGCAGCAGAGGTTGTAAGTAAGATTTACCTGTCTAGGTAATTCTCTATATCCAGAAACACCTTAATGCATGCATTTAAAAACAAAGCTTTTGTGGTGCGTGAATTACTTTTCTCATTCTTGTATTTTTCCCCACATCTTCTGGCAACCATCAAAAGATAAGTTCCATGTACATGGCAAAGCTGAATGTTTGACGCTGTCCTACTATAGCAGATCCTCATGCTATTAATGGCAAGGTATGTCAACAATTTGTCAGATGATGCTTGTTGAAGTGCTAATCCTCTTGCGCCTTCTTCCTTCTGTTTAGGGAAAACAGTTAGGCTGACTCTCTTCCTGAAGGATCCTTGTGCTTCTTCCTAAGATCACACAGAGTGTGTTTGCGCACAGGTTCACGTGTGGATTCATTGTAATGGATCGCTACAGATATTTCATCTTTAACCAGAAAAGTATGGTTGTGCTGGGGTTCTTGCAGATAGCCTGTGCTGCAGTGTGTGTCATCAGTGGATTAATGGATGGCACCTTCAGAACAGAATCAGCACTGAGTAAAAGCAGAGCACCCGTCTGGGCTGGAATGGTAAAGTTGCATATCTTATTTTTCTGTTTACTTATCCTATTGGGGGGTTATAGTTCAGATGTTGGCTCCCTCTGGGAGAACTTCCTGACTCTTCTCCAGCTCCTCTCTTGGAATCTGGTATTTGTCCACTGCTCTGAAAGCACAAGAGTGGAGAGGTACTGGGAAAAGATTTGGGGATATTGCGAGGGTGAGCGGGGGAAACCTTCAGAATAACAAGGCAAACTGTAATTCAGTTTTTATTTCATCAGGCACGGGATGATTTAGAAAATGAGGCTGTGGAGAGTTGCCATTTTAAAAGTTGCGACCAAAAGAAAAATGTATAAAGCTAATGGCTGTATTGAGCTTCAGTGTAGTGGTGGAATACAGAGGACCCCTTCATTTCATAAGATCGACGAGGTGCCCACATAACATAGCTGAACTTTTCACTGAGAATGAATTGTAGTAAGAGTACAACACCACCCTAATTGGTTTTAACTTCATCATTAGGGGCAGCACTGCCCTGCTTCATTGATGTTAGGGATGAAAGCTTAATAACTGCATCAAAGCTTTATAGGTGTTCTGAGCAGCTCAGATTCATAAGGTTTCCCATATGAAAATATTCCTACTATTCAAAAGTAACATACTATTGCTACAGCATAATATGATCAGGTGTCATTGCTGCACAGGGGTGGTGCCTTCTTGGGTTGTCTGTCTGTCTACTGCTTTCGAAGAATAGTTCTCTAGTAACCTGACAACCTGCTCTGACTAGATAACGAAGTGCAACTTGTGTAAAACTTTTTAAATAAACTGTAACCTGGGGGTACAATCCTGGCCCCCATTTAAATAATTATCAAAGCTTCCATTGCCTGCAGTGTGGCCAGGATTTCATCCTAGAAGTGTAGATAACTCAAAGATGCACATCTTTTAATATGGGTTTAAGGTTGGGGGGCAGGAGAGGTGATGTGGAGGGGGATGGGAATGGAAGCCAGAAAGCTTTCCTCAAAAAGTACACTAGAGCCGTGATTTTTCAAACTATGGGTTACAACCCAGTATTGGGTTGCGGAATGTAAGGCACTGGGTTGCGGCAGCTCTGGTCAGCACCGCCGACGGGGCCATTAAAAGTCCTGTTGGCAGTGCTTCCCGGCTAAGGCAGGCTAGTTCCTACCTGTTCCGACACTGCGCTGTGCCCTGTACTCCCATCCCCAGCCCTGAGCCCCCCCCAAACCTGGAGCCTCTTCCTGCACCCCAAACTCCCTCCTGCACCCCAACCCCCTGCCACAGCCCTGAGCCACTCGGAGTCCCTCCTGCATCCCAAACCCCTCATCCCCAGCCCAGAGCCTGCACCCCAGCCCAGAGCCCTGACCTCCTCCCGCACCCCAACCCCTTGCTCCAGTCCAGAGCCCGCTCCCACACCCCAAACCCCTTATCCCCAGCTCCATTGGGTTACAGGCATCAACAATTTTCTTCAACTGGGTCACCAGAAAAAAGTTTGAAAACCACTGCACTAGGGTATCACAAATGACTTTAACTCTGTACTTTCATTCCTGCCATCTTGTGCAGCCACCATATAAGGTACATTTGGGGTATGCAAACTTTTTATTTCCATGCTTTCCAGTGTTTGAGGGTAAATATAACCTTATTGTGAGTTACTTGATTTCCACCAGATTATTTTTACGGCACCTTTATATTAAGATTTTTATCCTTTAAATTACTGGCACACATTGACAACATCAGTTCAAATTTAATAAAGCTTTATTAGGGGAATGTTTTTGTTACATAGTGCCTAAAAATACAAACAAAATATTAAAAGTATAAAACTTATTAGTTTTCCCCCTGTTCCTTACATGTCCCCAGAACTCCCCTCCTCACTGTCCATGTACTCCAGCCAATTTACTGGAGAAGCTGCTGACCCAAAGCGTCCTCTTTCATCCTGGACTCATACCTGCTCCCTGAGTAATAGCTTCTTTCCTTTCAAAAAAGGAGCAGGGAAACTACTAATGTGTGTTGGAATAAGCAACTTTTTAGTAGCTCACTGGTACCTTGACACATGTTATTGACTATTGCGCAGCTTCAAAGCTGTTTTGGTGTTGTCAATACAGGAGTTGCAATACCATATCAAACTGGCCCATCTAGTCTGGAATCCTGTCACTGACAGTGGCCAACATCAGATGATTCAAAGGAAGGTGTAAGAATTTAGCGGTAAGATAATCACCTCACAAATTAGGTCTCATCCTGATCTCTACTAATTAGACTGGCTTAAGTCCTGAAGCAAGAGGCTTGTGACCTTTACCTCAGCCCTAGCAGTCCAATACTCTGCCCCATCCTCATCTTTGTCACTCTTACCAGAGTGCACCGCTTTGGGCTTGGTCTCTGGGACACTATGAATGGTGGTAGAACTGTTTGGTCTCTGCCCCTCCAAACTGGGATTGCCAGAATACAACCTTGCTCTGATGTCATCAGTGACTTCAGCAGGTCTGTGCTTGCGATCATCATCTGTTTGCCTTGTCAGGGTCACAGTGATTGACACTGAAGTACAATGTAACTAGAAATCAGAAGATCTGGGTTCCAATGCTGGCACTGGCTTGCTGTTAAAGACTGAAAGTTCAGAAAACTGGAGATTTTAGAAAATAACTTAATACCCTGATTTGCATTTTTGATTGATGTTACCATATTTACATAAATGACAGAAAATGTCCTAATTTCCCGAACTTAAGCCAAACAAGGCTGCAGCATGGAATGAGCTTTAGGAAACAGGAATTCCAGATACAATGGTAGGTAGGTAGTGGCAGGCCTTAAGCTATGAATAGTCTGTTGCAGACACTGACTCTAGGTCTACAAAATCAGCTTGAATAACTCAAATAGCCAACAGGCTTAACCAAAAATAGTCAGAGGAACCAGTCCTCACTGAGTCCAGTTAAAGAAACCAAGTTTGGAGTTTCTCAGCTAAGACACTTAAAATGACATGTCAACGACAAACCAGTATTAAAATGGCAAAATACTACTTTGATAAATGCCTTCCGATTCATATGCCTCTCCCTCAGCCCACTATACACATTCTCATCACAGGAGCATACATGGGATATTTCAGGTGGATTGGCTGAGCATTGGCAAAGTTAGGGAGAGCATCAAAACTTGTGGTAATGGAGCGCAGTCTCTCCGGAATACCTTCAGCATATGCTATAAAGGTTGATGGAATTTAAACTACTATATAATTTATAAATGTGCCGACACATGTGGTGATAAGTTTTCCTACACAGTAGGTTATATACTAAAGAGAGGTATCAGTTAATGCAAATGGCCCTTAATTCCCTGGAATATTATGTGCTAGTTACACACTTTCACACTAGCGGAAATGTAACACTGCTGAAATGTGAAATCTGATTCCAAATTTATAAAGCAAGGCTGGAATAACTGCTAATTTGACACTAACTTTCACTAGCAGAATGTTTCATTTTCTAAAGAAGTGACAGAATACCATTCCTTAAATTCCAGGATCTGCACCGTTAAAACCAAGAAAGTTGAAGTACGTCAGTTATTGTGGCATAAAATGTCTGCTCTCTTCATAGGCTCATTCTTATTATCAAGTGGGGTGCAAACGTCTTAGTTCTGTGTGGTAACTATGAATTTTTTGTGAGTGCTTATAATTTAAAATGGCTCCTTATGGAATATATTTTTCTGAAACTTTTCATACCCAATATAGTAGCATAACTTGTTAGCATGCTTTCTTTCCAGTTGCAAAATTATCTGTTTATTTTTAACATGCAGGTCATGGGTGTTCCTGGAGTTCTGGCTTTATTTTCTTCCCAGAAAAAAAATCCAGTTCTTGTAAGTTTATAGAATTTTTTTTTAAAGGGGTAGGTGAAGGAGTGACAAGATACATCTTTTGTAAGCAACATTAAGTTGGTAGTGGCCTGGTTTACTTTATTGCACTTGGTTCTAAATCCTGCTGCAAGATCCTCACTCTGAGTTCTGTGTAGCAGTATTAAATTCTGTAGAAAAATTAAAAATTCTGGCAGCATTTGCTGATCAGTTACTCCAGAACATGTGATTTCCCCCCTCCCCCCCATTAACTGGTTTTAGATTCCTTCAAGCTCTGTATTTTCTAGCAGTTGCTTTTGAACGTACTAGAGAAATATTTTCACAAATTTCATCTGTTTTGCTGGACTATATAGTACGATACGAATTAAAATGGAATGTGTAAAGAGCTTGCTTCTTGACTTTCTGGCCAGCTAAACTCCAAAAGGATATGTTCTTATTTGTAAACGAGTGAACTGCTAAAAGACCTAAAAGGGTTTTACTTAATCTAATTGCTTTAACAAACATACATCTCTGTGGTCAAGATTTGAGATTATAGGGCATATATAATATAGGGGTGGTAGTGGCTTGGAGACACTTGTTGAACTTGACCATGGTTTCATAATTCTTCTTGCTACTGTCCTTTACCAATCTATCACTATAAAGCTTTAGGAGCTGCTGCAAATGATTTTCTATTATGATCCTGATTTTTGCCCCTCTTAATATCAAAGACTCAAAATTGGAAAGTTAGATCTGGAGGGCGAGAGACTTCTCCCCCTTCCCCTCC